TTTTTCTTTTAACTTTTGTTAATATAATTTTTGTAGTACAGTTCATCGATTGTCATCTTCAATCTTAGGTAATTAAAGATCTCAATTTTAAAAGTTTTCAGAATCTACAAGTTTTTCTATTATTTATTTGCCAATGAACTATCTAGTTAAATGGATATGAAACTAATTACTTTTTTATATTCGAACTACTCTTACCTTTGTTGTACTAAAAAAACTATATTATATTTTTTTCATTGTAAATATTTGTTCGCCTTGTTTAGGAAATTTTTCCTTTTGTTTAAAAAATTCAACTCTTTTTCGGAGGCTCCGCTTTGCCGCAGATTCATTCAGGTTTCGTCTCGAACTTCTCCTTGTCCCATTTGTTTGATTCAGATTGTGGGGTAATGTTATTCCAACTAAACTTAATTAATAGAATTATCTTAAACTAACCAAGACATCTCATTAATGATATTTGAGATTATTGAAAATAAATTGTGCGAAGGATTTGCAATATTTTTTATTATATATCTTTTTTTACTCTACTGTGAGAATTTGAACTTTTAATGAATATGGAGTTTGTAGTATTGACTTTTCACCCCACGGATGGTAAAGTAGCTGGAGTAAAATAGGTGTGTCTTCCACGAAATTCCAACAAAGATACATAATAAATTAGACATACATTTTCGGACAATGAAAATTATTAAAGGAATTCCACAAATAGCAAAAGAAAAATATGACAATACATTTATAACACATATAATTGAAAAGTAAAATCTAAAAATAATATCTTCTCTACACACTCAATATGTCATTTTCTAAAAATAAAAGTTACTATTTTATTGTCATTTCACAAAAGAGAAAAAAATAGCAAAATATTTTTAAGTAAATAGAAATATTTCTAAAAGTTATTCTTATGTTTGGGAGTAAGATTTTTCAGTGAAGTAGGTATACAAGCACTTCCAAGTATTTTCGAAAACAAAAGCACTTTAAATAAATTTTAATTTACTAAGAATAATTATTTATCCAATAAAATAGTCAAATCATGAGAGTAAGAGTAATGTGCAGGGAAAGATTTTGGAATTGAAAGAGCATGTGAGAGGAGAGGAGAAGGATAGAGGGCAACCACATATGACAAACAAAAATAAAGCAATTATTCTAACATTCTTTTTGAAGCTTTTGAGATCAGGGTGGTTGCTCTTTTGAGGGTCAAATGCATTTAGTGATTCAAGTAAGAGGAGAGGGAAAATAAAATAAAAAGTGAAAAAGGGAGAGAAGAAAAAAGAGAGAGAAAAGAAAGTAGTGGGGAGACACACACACAAAAACACTTGCAAGTGGAGGACCTAGTCCTCTGCTAATCTTTTGCGTTTTCTTTTTTCTCCCTCAAAATCGATTATAATAAAGAAAAAGGGAACATTATAAAAAAAAATTATATATATAAAAAAAAGGAACAATTAGATACATAGACATGGGGGTGCACTTATTCTGTCTTTTTCACCATCAATGATTCTCCATTTTTTCCTCCCTCTCTTTAATTTGGATATGTGCTTTTAGGTATGGCTATTTGCCAATTGATAGTTTTATTTGGTAACATTTGGGCTGGCAAGTACCCTACTACCCATCTGTATATATTAGACAAATTTATTGCCATTTAATTCTCTTATTAAAAACTAACAAAAATTCCTATCCAAGAGTATCTTCGTTTTGAAACTTTTTAACCTTCACCATAAAACTGTAGTTTAATATTTTTGTTTTTTTAAAAATCATAGGTAGAGATGTTAAAATTTTTACCCATCTCAAATAGGATAAAAAAGGTGAGCACCAAGATTAGTAACCTCTTGTTTTCACTCCCTTCTAATCCCAAAAGTTGCAAGACTATAAATATTTTATTAGTGTTTTAAAGACTTCTAATGTTATAATTTTAAGGAGGTTTTTAACCCTTTGATAGAAAAGTGATCAATAAGATGAAAGTAGAGCCAACTTAAGAATGACTACACTCATCAATAAATAATTAGGATGAGACTGCATCTTGCCTAGAAAAAAAATACCAATAAACTCTCTTATTCTGTAAATGCAATGTGAAGAAAAATAATTAGGTGTTTATCATCAATATCAATATTTTGCTGACTACTATTAAATAAAAAGATACATTTTTTTAATTTTTCAAAAAGATTTAAAAAATTGTCAAATTTTCATTGATCTCGACACAATGATCAATGATGTATAACTCTAACTAGCTAAATCAGTCCAATTAGATTCAACTTAAATAAATAAATAAATAAACCCCAACTACTCTAGAATAGTTGCATCCAATAATTCATTGAAACCAGCTAAATCAGTACGTTGGACTAAATTTTTATTTTCTTAATTTCTTTCTGTAAGAAACAGAGGGCACCGTCTCAAATTAGATATAGAAATTTAAATTTAAATGTTCTTCTTTTAATTTTCCTTTGATTTAAAAAATGAAAGAAGAAAAACCTGTAAAATGTTTGAACATAAAGTTCCGCCGTTATGGAAAATTTCTGGCCCCCTTCTCCAAAAGAAGAAGAGAAGGAGAGAGAGAAAGAGAGAAGGAACTTTTGGAAGAGGAAGAGTTGTGAAAGATTTGGACCCGAGGGGCGGAGAGATTCAGGCCCATGATCTCTTTGGGCCTAATTAAGAACTGCTCAGGCCCATGATATCTGGAAGCACCGAAGGAGGAGCACACCAGTACAGTACAACCCCAGAACTTTGGAAGTCGATTGTGAATTCCTTCAATTTAATCCATTTATTTGCTTTGTTTCTTTTTAAAAAATTTTCCGATCCTTGGATTACCTATGACTCTCTCTCTCCCTCTTTGGTGGCTTCTGAAGTTAGGGTTTTTAACTGCTCGGAAATAGTAAAAATAATTCAAGAAGAGGAGAGGAGATGAAGTTTGGAATGGAGTATGCAGAAAATTTAATACTGAGAAGGTGAGAATGATGGAGGATCCGAAGGAGAGAGATGGGAGATTTAGAGAGCACCTGTATGCGGTGAAAGATCGGTGCCGGAAGACCAAGGAGATGGGAGTTGCCCCGCACCTTCGACCGCCACAATTCCCAGCTCCATTGGGATGGCTCAAATCAGTCAGCTGCCTCCTCCAGCATAGCTATCACAATTCCAAATGATTTATTGAACGTCAGTTTTGTTCTAAATTCCAATGCTATGCTTTCTTTAACGACCGTCCAGATAAGCCCTAAAAAAGTTATTCACAATTTTACAAGATATGGTGAGTCCCTGCTTATTTTTCAATGCTTCGCTCATCTTTGGTCAATTTTTCTCCTTCATCTTTGAGTATTTCCCGAACACGCCACCAGCTATAAGTTCATAGCCCCTTTCACTCGGAGGAAAATATGTCTCGAAACTCCTTTCGTTATGTCCTCGTTATGTCCATTGACATTAAGTTCCGAAAAGTATTCATTGAACAACTCAATGTTGAAAACGGACATCATATTATAGATTTTGCACTAAACTCGACTGCCATGAACAAAGAAAGCGAATTATAATCAAATGTTCAAACTATATGGTAGATTTCTAACATTAACATCCAACCACTAGTAATTAGGAACAAACCGAAGTTAATGGATTCGGTGTTTGATTCATCTTCTACCTGAAAACGTTAGGTTGGTGCAAAATAAGAATCTGAGAGATGTATTCCACGATATCACCTAAGAAAGTAATGGAATGTTAATAATTCATGGATAATGACGCCTTCATCAAGGTCTAGAAAGTTACTCTAACTTCAAGAATTACCAGCTTGATAAGGGAATACGGTTGAACCAGTCAGATATTTAAAACCCTTCACTGATCTTGAGATTTCTGTCGCTTTGTGTACTGAAGGATGGGATCCTTAACCTTAAAGAAGAACAAGAAGATTTTAAATTTTCGTCCAAGTACCATACCGGAAATTCATTGTGAATTATATATAAATTAAAAAGTACCGTGCTTGTCTTCCTGGATCGTTTATCTTGAGTAGACTTTTCGACGTCCATCTCGTCAAGGTGGCTTGCAGTTCCATTCACTCTGTTATTATCATTTCCTGGCACGAAACTCTCTCTCGAGGCAACTGGCTGCACGTTTAGTCACAGTTTGTATGTATTAAGATGAAGGGTTAAATCTAAACAAATTTTTTTAAAAATAATAAAAATAGAAGTAAAAAGTATATTAACGAAATATGAAAAAACAAGAATAATTTTTAAAAATAGAAATTAATTGGGAAATTTTTACTCTGTAGTTATTTACTTTGATGTGAATGAAAGCAACGTAAAGACTTACTGCAGGCGTGCTTGTGGGAGTGTTTCCAAGCTCCTTTAATTTTGAAGCATTTTGGTTTGTGTCTGATGTCACTCTCATGCGCGTTAAATCTGATCCAATGGAACGGAGGATACCACAAGTGGATAAGTCCTTGTGGTTGCTATCTGAGGAACCAAAGTCATACTTTGTTACCGTAAGCATTGATTGTACCATTTGTGGTGGAATGGGATTTTTAAGTATTTACGAATTTGTCGTCACTAACCCATCTTGTTGGACTTTTCATGTGGTTCATAAGTATCGATTTCCTGGAACGAAAAATTAGAGACATGAAAGTAGAAAACAAGAAAAGCATACGGAAAGCTGGGGCATGTGGCTATAAAGGTCTTGAATTGTTACCATAGCTTCGTAGTTCAATACTTTCTCTACTTCTTTCAACTTCTTTTCAGCCAAATCTGAGTGGATCACACGTTTACCTGATTGTGTACAATAGAAACATTGATTTGCTTGTTGGTTAATGCAAATATTGGGATCCTCTAAAATAAGGCCAACACTCAGAACTTTTGGGATGGTGCATACCCAGTCTTCGGCTCCCTTTGGATTCAACAAAACCATCTCGAATCATCTTATCAATCATTTTACGCACTGTGGTCGGATTGGCCTCTCCTTCAAGCTTGTTTTGAAGCTTTGCAACCGTGACATAACTCATTTGAAGAGTATGATATAAAGCCTGAAATAAAAAGTCAAGAGTCAAAATTAACTGTATATCGGGCACATCTCCTACTCAAATTCCATTAGTTCAACTCATCAATATGAAAAACAGAGTAAAACAGTTGCAAGGGTCGAATATTTGTGACAAATTACAAGAGTAATGTCCTCGTGATTTGCATCGGGTGACATAGAAGTCGTAGTAGCAGTACTGAGATAGATTCATCCAGAGGATGGTCGAATAAAATAAGTTTAGCTACCTTCATATACACGAGATCGTGGACAGTGGCAGCTTTCATACCAATTTTGTCTATTTGACCATCGATTTCTTCCTTCACCAAGTCGAATTCATAGTCAAACGCCTGGTACCATTATTCACAACAGAATATGGACATTTCACATTCAATCATGTGTTCAAGTTTATGATAAAACGCACTGATAAACAAAAACAAAGTTGGATAACAACCTTCTGCCTGTTGATGTTGTAAGAATCTCTTCCGGTCTTGGATAGAACACCTTCGTTAACAAGCTTGTCCATAATTTCTGAAATGCAATCAAAATATTTATATGTTTGTAATCAAATCTACAGTAATCAAACATGATCCGGCACATTAAAAGCTTTCTCCATTAATAAACTTAGCTTTCTCCATTAATAAATTTTCGAAGGGACGTATTCCTATACCTTCGGTTAAAACCTGCAGCACAAAGAAAAGAGAACAATATCATTTTAAAGTAAACGAACAGCTACTGGCAAATAGTTTGAGAAACAAGGTCCTTGCCACCGAGATGTCAGGAAAATTTGAAAGAACATCAGTAATTTCTAATTTGTCGTATTGGTAACTATTGATCCAGTCCTTCACCCTGGCTAACTGTTGTTCATCTTCCTCTGGATCCTGTGTATCATCTGCACACGATATAATTTTTAACTAAATATTCTTCCGGAGAGAGGCCAATTAGCTGAGAAGCACCAAATTGCTGTAAAGGGTTATTGCCGAAAGAAGAGTCGTTAAATGCGAAAATGTGAAGGTTTACAGGAAATGTATTGAGACACTTCGTGGATTTGCTTAATTTCGTATCACATATAACAATACCATTCCCTCTTCTTGTTTCCAGCTGTCAGCTGATGACATATCACTTAAAATGCATAGACGTTTACAACAAAAGAAGCGGGCACGCATTCATTTTATTTTACCTTCATCAATCTTGCTAGTATTATCTTGTTTTTGCAGTTTTTCTGTCAAGAAAATGTTAGTTACTTACAGTAACAACTGGAATGAATATAATAAATAGTATACAGGAGGACGGTTCAACCCACAACCTCTTGGAGCAACAATATAATCGCCTTCTGGAGAAGGGTCAACCTGGTTACGGAACAGAAACATTGTCATGTGCTGAAGAGCACCTTGAAATTAAGTTTGAATTTAGCTCTGAATAAGCCATTTAGGTCGGACAAAGTTCTTAGGATCATTTCACCTCACTGTCAGTTTCAGAAAACCCGTGCCTTTGTTCCGAGTCAGCTCCTAAGCTAATTTCATTCTCTTCATTATCATCATTTTCATCCTCACACGGATCAAGCACGCTCTTTACCTGTACAATTTGCCAATTAATAAAAAAAAAGTTAACTCAAATATTGATCATACACATAATTATTGTTCCCTTTCCATGAATTTCAATCGCTTACTTTGAGAGCTAATACAAAATGCTTGCTGTTGACGTTCCCAACCTCCATCTTTAATGGATTTTTACTCCAGGGGTGATGTGCCTCTTCCTCTTTGCAGCTCCTAAAGAATGGAGGTTCATAATCGACTGGCTGCAATTAGATAATCGTAATTACTAATCTCTCCGAACGAGGATTTTTTTGAAGGAGAAAAATTCCTTTTCAACTGTAGGAATGTGAACGCGTGAGCCTTGTATGTATGTAGCACCACAAATTAACAGTTGGTTGGCCAGTGTAACGTAGTTGTAAACTATAAACAAGAAAAATGCATCACAATATCATGTATATTAGGTTTATTAATATTAGTTAGTTCTACATGTAGTTAGTTGTTGTAACAAGTTTGCTTACACGATTGCATATATATATGGCATTATGTTTATTGAATAAAGATAAGCACCTATATATATAGCCTTCTGTTTATTGAATAGAGATGAGCAAGAGTTAAATTTACTCTCAACTCTAATAATGTAAAGTACAAAAATGAGTCAATGATTGAAACAAACATTAAATAATTTTGGAGAAGAGCTTGTCAAGAAACATACCGTAATATCATCGTAGTAGAGGAGTTTCATCAATATGGTGCGCTGAGACAAAATAAATCAATCATGTTGATACCAAACATGGTATCTTGTAATACTTAATGGAAATTCTCATTTTAAAAACTTCAACGCTCTCATTCAAATTATTAATTCGTTTCGGCATTTACCTCCTCGGGCATCTTATCCAATGTTCTCATCAGTTGAACCAGTGTCCGAACCATCTTACAAGCAGAACTCCTACAGTTTTAACTTATTGTCACATATCCCCCCGCTAGTATTAGGAAAAAAAAATATATAAAAGACAAACATTGCGCAATCTGGTCTCCGATTAGCCATACCTCATCTGGTTGGGAGTTATTTCGGCTGTGGAGTTACACTTGAACGTTCCTCCCTGTTTCTTGTTTCCAGTGCGAGTGACGTTCATCGAGACCTCCTGACTGTCAGAACTGGAGTAGCTGAAAGAAACTGCAGGCAAGAACTTAGTAAGTATCAATCTTAAGAATTATCGGAAATCTGTAACATTACCTCGCTGGAACCACTGAAAATTTTCTATATCTAAGAAATAAACATTTCATTTTGCCAACCAAAATACCGCAGAGATGTAAGATTATAAAATTTCAGAGAGCTTACAAGCATATTCCTCAATCATCGGCCCTTCCACTGCCTCACACACGCAGAATAGAAGCGTTTTAAGGTACTTCCGCTGCAACGCATCATATACACCTGAAGAAACACAAAAATAACAGTGAACAATAGGTTAGAAGTTGAGAAGCATAAAATATCATAAATAAGGCTTAACTCGAAATACCTTTTTCCATCCAGTCAATCAATCTTCGAGACTCTGCATCCATGGGCATAAGCTTCTTGATCTTCATCTCTGTTAACCAGGCGAACTTATTATCGGATAATAATTGGTGGCATGATAACTGATAAAAACTGAAGAAACCTATCAGTAAAATCGGCTTACCTAAAGCAGGAACGGATTTATCGTTGAAATACTTTTCGGGAAAAAGACCTCTGATATAACTGATATTGAATATAGCGATGCGCAGTAGATTTCTCGTCTGAAGCCAATGAACACAAACAAGTTAACGGATCCAATTTTATACAATCATCGGTCATAAAATATTTTCTTCACATAGTAAGAGTGTTTGGCAAGGAAAAACAGAGCATCGATTTGGAAGTTAAGAAGTTGAATACTACGGAAGAAATTTACGCCGAAAGTAAAATGTTGAAAAGAATTTGATTAACTTGTTTTATCGTGTGATTTTCGATCCCTTCAGCACACAAAATCGAGCCTGAATTGCAGTAGTATGTAAATCATAATGATCTATAGTTACTCTAATCCCTAACAAGTGAGCAACACTCATTTTAATTTCCGATTCATGCAAGGAAACGATCTCCAATAAAGGTTCGATGATGTCACAATTTACAGATACTTGAAATCCGATGTCCATGTTCGTCTATATGGCTAACTTCTAAGATATTGCAGGAGTTGAAATTAGGGCAACTAAGAGTATCAGATCAACGAGAAGAGAACAATCTACGTTCAACAAGAAGGCAAACAAACGGATTCAAGTTCAGCTCTCTGTCACCGCAATTATCCGCGATGAAAACTTCAAATCTATCTCGAAAACACAAGAATAAATTAATAAAAAATAAAGCAAAGTTCCAAAGGATTTAACCAGGAGAAGAGAATCCTGCTCCGTGATCTCTGATTCCTTCAATTTCTGTGCAACAACCTGGAGGAAAAGATTAGTTTCAGAAAGAGCCTGTGAGCAGGAGATTCTAAAGGCAGCGAGACATCAATGATCAAGCAAGAAAATACGATCCGTAAAGGTTGTTCATATCACCATGTTTCCAGTGCTGATAACGGAAAATAGAGAAGCGGAAGAGTAGAGATGCCTTCGAGTTCGAGAGAGCTGTTTCAAAATTTTGAAATGGCAGGAGACGAATGAGAAATGTGGCGGGAGATGAAGATGATGGATACTCTTTTATAGGCGGATTAGAAATCTTAACCATGGTTACAAATTAACCAACATTGGTTGACTGAGCTTACAGACGTTAATGCAAGTCCTAAAATTTTACTTCTTAATTAAAACAGTTTTTATTAGCTAAGGTAATTTCTATAATATTTCAACAAAAAAAAAGAGATATTTAATCATATCAATATGTACTCAAAAGGTATATATATATGTCGATATTACATCAACTTAAAATTTGGTATTTTCATTTATATAAATATTTAAATTTTATATTAGTTCAATATCTCACTTTGCTCGTGATTATTCTATTTTTTACCAAAATACTACTTTCGTGAGTATTTTTAAGAATGTTAAAGCAATTTTTTTTATTAATTAACAATATTGGGGTATTATTAAAACCAAATTTTCTAGGATACCACAAGAATACAGCGAAAATGGTTGATGGAAGTATGGAACTACTACGAATGGACACCCCATGTAATTAAATGATTGTTAAAGGACCTGCTTTCAATTTTTAAAACTCCTTCAATGGTAATTAACTTAAGCGGAAAATTAAAAGTTGTAGAAATTATATTTAAAATAAAGTTTAAATACTATTTCGGTCCGTATTTTTTATTTTAATTTATTTTGATCTCTATACTTTTAAACGTTGATTTTGATTTATGTACTTCCAATTTTTGTTCATTAGTCCTTGTAATTTCATAACATTCATTTTAGTTCATATACTTGACTAATGTAATCTCTACTTGCAAAATTTTGACTATATTACAAAAAAAAGTAACAAAGTAAAATGTCATGTTAAAATTATTATGGAAAAAGATGAATAGACTAAAAATGTTTCTTGAACTATGTCAACCAAAACTAAAGATCCAGAAACCAAA